CCCAAGCAGCCCCTGCCCCAGCCAGACCCGTCCTCGCCCCCGCTCGGGGCCCAGCCACCCCCCCGGGATAAAGTGCACATGAAGGCCGGTGCGGCGCGCGGGGGGCAGCGATGGCTGTGGGGCTGCAATGGTTGGGGGGGGCAGCAATGGCTGTGGGGCAGCCGTCGCTCAGGGCACCCCGCTGCGGGCGCTCTCCCGAGGGGCCCGTGGGCGCCGTCGCGGCGCAGGCAGTGTCCCCGTCCCCGTCCCCGTGGCGGCTACTGCAGGTAGCGATAGGCCTTGAAGCAATGGTTGCCGGAGTCGGCCACCACCACGTGTCCGTCAGAGGTGAGGGCCAGGCCTTGCGGCCCGTACAGGGGGTCGGCGGCCGTGTTGATGTAGGAGAGGAAGGAGCCCGAGCTGTCGAAGACCTGTGGGGACAGGCAGAGACGCGCTGTCCCCGACATCCCCACTGCCACTGCTGCCCTGCCACCCCACCTCCCCAGGGAACCCCTGCCACCCCAATGGCCCCTGGCATACTGGGAGCTTGTCCCCGCTCTGCTGAGCACCCCACTGCCCTGCACAGGGTTCAGTGCTTGGGGCACAAGCCCCATCCCTGCCTGCAGCCCCTGCCTGCGCCCGGGCTGCCGGCGGGACCCTCTCCCTGCGGTGGGACAGGGACAGTGCTGGCTCAGCACCTCCCGGGACCAGTGCAGCATTGTGGGGCAGAGGGGCCCCGTGGGTTGTAGGGCCGGTCCCCCCCCCAGGGCAGCGTGGGGCTGCGGTGCCGGTACCTGGATGCGGCTGTTGCCCCAGTCGGCAACGATGATGTTGCCGTTGGCGTCGACGGCCACCCCCGTGGGGGCGTTGAACTGCCCGTTCCCCTCCCCATGCGATCCGAACTTGAAGAGGAACTCGCCGTCCGCGTTGTAGACCTGCGGAGAGGGGGTCACCGTGGGCTGTCCCGGCACACGGCACCGGCGCCAGTGGGGGACGGCACAGAGCCAGGGACGCCGGCAGACACCCCAACCGCCTGCCGCAGCAGCACTCACCTTCACCGAGTGGTTGTGGAAGTCGGTCACCACAATCTCGTTCTTGTTGTTGACTGCCACGAAGTGGGGCCCTGGGGAGGGGAGGGGGCTTAGCCCCAGGACAGGGATGGGGGGCTCAGCCCCAGAGGGGGATGGGGAGGCCCAGCCCCGCACAGCAGCAGTGCCGCGGGGACGCCCCTCGGTCCCACACCAGGGAGGGGGTGGCTCGGCTCCGGTGCCCGGTTAGTGTGGTTAGTGCTGCGTGAGCAGCCGGTGAGGCGAGCACAAGGGGGTTAGCACAGGTGGTGCCAGGCCCCCCACGGCTGGAGGGGGCACCCAGCCCCACAGCGGGATGAGTGCTGGGGACAGACCAAGACCCCAGAGCCCCAACCCACAGGGACAGAGCCCACTGCCAGAACCAGAGCCCAGAATCTAAAACCAGAACTAGAACCCAAGCCCAGAACCCAGAATCACAGCCCAGAACCAGAATCCAGAACCAGAATCCAGAACCAGAATCCAGAACCAGTGCCCCAGCCTAGAACCCAGAGCCCAGAACCAAAACCCAAGCCCAAAACTAGAACCAGAACCCAAACCCAGAGCCCCAGCCCAGACCCCAGACCCAGGTGTCCCAGTGCCAGCTGGGCACCAGCTGCCATCAGCGAGGCGTGCGGTACTCACCGTCCCAGCCCGGCCCCGGCGCAGCGGGAAGCCAAAGGCATGCAGTAAGGAAGAGGGGACTTGCCAGTCGGTGTATTACCATCAAGTGTACCTGCAAACTGCCGCTCGGCCGTGCCGCGGCTCCCAAACTTGGTGACGAGCTTGCCGTTGGACTGGAAGATGAAGACGCAGCAGGCCTTGTTGTCCACCACGATGATGTGGCCATTGCGGTCCACGGCGACACCCTTGGGGCCCATCAGCCGTCCAGCGCCGATCTTGGTCTGCGGTCGGGGAGGGGCGTCAGGGCTGGGTGCAGAGTCGCGGCCCCCCCACCCGGCCGCTGCCCCCTCACCTTGAATTTGCCCTCGGGGGAGAAGATGCTGACCCAGCGGTTGTCGTAGTCCGCGATGATGATGTCCCCGTTCATGTCCACGGTGACGCCAGTCGGGCGCTGGAGCTGGCCAGGGGAGCGGCCCCGCACCCCGAACCGCAGCCGGAACTGCCCCTCGTTGGAAAACACCTGGGGGGGCAGCGAGGGGGGCATCAGCCAGGCGGGGGGGCGGGCTGGGGCCGGGGCCAGGGCCTCAGTCCTACCTGCACACACTGGTTATTGCTGTCGGCCACCACGATGCGGCCACTGCTGGAGGTGGAGATGCCCTGGAGGTTGGTGAACTCCCCCTTCTCCCGGCCGCGGCTTCCTGCGGCAGAGGGAGGCAGGTCAGAGGGCGCCCCATCTGCCCTCAAGAGCCCCAAGGAGCCCCCAGTGGCCCGGGGAGACCTGGGAAGCCCTGAGGAGCCCCCGCCGCTCACCCACGCGGAAGATGAGCTCGTCCTCGATGGGGTTCTCCTTCTTCTTGCCGCTGCTGTACATGCTGGAAGGGCGCCGGACGGCCTTCTGCCGGATGTGCCCACTGCTGGGGGACTTGACGCGGCGCTTGACGTCGTCGGGAGAGGGGGGCACGTCGGAGGCCTTGACGGCGCGGACGCGGAAGGGGCTGCCGCGGATGGGCTGCCCGTAGAGCAGGATGGAGAGGAGGAAGTCACCCTCGGCACGGGGGGTGTAGAGCAGCTCGTAGGTGCCGTTCTTGTTGTCCTGCACCTCTGCCTCGGCCGCACCGCCGTCCGGCGCCGTCACCTGGAAGCGCAGGCTGGCGCTGCCACTGCGCACCAGCTCCCCGTCTTTGTCCTTAGTGGTGACGCTGAGCGAGGAGGGCTGCCCCACCACAGCGTGCCGCAGCCCCTCGCCCGTGGCCACCGTCTTGTGGGCCGTGGCGCTGGTGGTGATCAGCACACCCAGGTTGAGGATGGATTTGCGGACACCCTCGGTCTCCACCACGTAGTCGAGCTGGGCGTTCTCGTGGGGGTGCTCGGGGAACTCCTGGCTGGCCAGCTCGCTCAATCGCTCGCTCATCTGCTTCTTTACCAGCAACACCTCAGTGGCGGTGCCATGGTGCAGCGCCTGCTCGGTGAAGGCGCAGCTGCTGAGGATGCTCTCTTGGCCCTGGCGCAGGGCTTCCAGCTGCGCCTGCAGCACCTGCCAGGACAGGGCAGGTCACCCTCACCGCCAGGCTGGGACCCTCACCGGCACCCAGACCCCGGCCGTGGTTCTGGCCGGCCCTCGCGGCACTGCGCCTGGAGTCCAGCTGCCTGCACAGGCAGGGCCGGCTGGCACCATTGACACGGCCAGGGCACGTTCACCCTTTTCAGGAAAGCCGGGCAGGGGGCACAGGGCAGGGATGCTGGCACAAGGGCACAACAGTGCTGGGGCACAGCGGTGCGG